GGGAATGTTGTATAGTGTAATGTCCTTTAATATTGATGTTCCTACCTTCATTAGATTCTAAATATATACACACATATATATTTAAATGTGTAATGTTATAGCGTTCCACCAAAACCGATTACATGTACTGGCAGGCCCCTTGTGTGTGATTCCATAATTTACATGTAATATCCTGTACTTTAAAAAAATTTAATACCACATTTAGGGTTAAAACAGCCAATCTTCTTTGGACAGGTGGACACACGCCCTTATTTGTTAATTTTTCTGGTTGTTTATAGGCTGTTCTAATTTTGATTTCATTGTGTTGTGAAACCTTTCTTTTTCACGTTTTTACACACTCATCTAAAAATCTCTGGACTAGCTCTTGAAAATTTAAATAGATCTAGACCCAAAAATGTGCTCCTTCCCAGACCTCGCAGAATGGCAAAATGAAAGTAGGCGCCGAACTCTCGCAAATAGGCAAAATATCATGAGACTGGAAGCCGGAAACCGTTCAGAAATATAAAGATCGGCACTATTTCTCCGAACGTTCGGAGAAATGGTCACTTCAATAATACTATAGATAGATCTAGATCTAGATCCTAGTAGATCTTTTCTTTATATCTAACTAATGATTCCCAAAACTGAACTGTTTTTTTTTTATCCACATAAAAAAATCAACTGAAAATCACTCATTTGTAGAATTTGGTGAGACGAAGTCCGAAGCAGATCAGAATATATATATAGATCTAGATCTAGATGGTACGCCTTGTCATTTTGCAAACTTTTTTTGTCTAACAAGTAAACAACAATTTTAACATAGATTCTAGCAATTACTAGATCTAATCTAGTAAGCTGCGTGACTACAGTATTGACAATGATTAACATTAAACAATACATGGTAATTATGAGGGAAAAAGATTCGGACTCTGAATGTTTATTATTTATCAATTCTATTGACCCACAGACTAAGACAACTAATTGATTTTATGATCTTTCCCTTCTTTCACAGGTAAAAGTGGAAGTTTTACCAACCACTCCCCAAGAAAATGGCAGAATCCAAAAATGATAAACAGATCAAGGCTCATTTGATAATGAGAGGTATAGAGCCTGTTTTGACTAAGAGTAAGAGTTATATAGGGTTATATTAACGAGGACTTATATTAATTTAATGTGAAAGGCTAGGAATATTTGCATTATTTTGCTTTAATAATATGATGAGTGTACGAACCCAATCCTATAATGCTATAATTGGTACAACAATTAATTATTTTGGCATCCAATTTATTTATTATATAGTTATATGACATGATGCTCAGACTATTTCAAGAATCGTCCAAGTCACAGCTATCGCAATCTGCTCACGATCCTGAGACCCTTCATTGATCATCAGAGCATGTAAAAAGGCCCCAAAACCATGCTATCATACAATAAATTACATAACATTGCCTTTCATTACAAAAACAATTACACCCACCCCACACCCACGTCTGCACATGTGGTCATGAGTACCATAATATGTTCTTCTGTTCCTGACACATATGAGCAAAATACTTTTAAATGCTTAATGTTCTCTCTCTCTCTATCTGTTGCTACAGGAACGCACGAGGTGGAAGAAAACTGTTTGGAAGGCGGTGGCTGCGTTTCTTTCATTAATTGCAGAAAGAATCCTGGCCATACTGGGTTCATACCAGTCTATGAGTTTAGTGAAATTAACGTGAGATCGTGGATACCTAATGTGGAACAGTCAACTGTGAACGGGATAGTTGAGTATGTGGAGTGTTGTGCAGATTTAGTTGTCAGGATCGGAGTTCCCTTCATTAGCAGCCAGCGGCCAGAGACTGCAGCTGACGGCAAAACTTACCCCTTTGGTAATAAAAGAGGCCAACGTCTCAATATTGTCGGCAGTGGTTTTGTGAACCAAGTGTATGGTCGAGATGATGGACTTAATAAACCCTGTAAGTGTGGGAAGTGTCCACGGGGGACGGCTGAGGAAAACAGGTACTGGAAAATTGAAGTTGCCACTGCACGTCATGTGGTTTATGATGACAGTGAGGCCAGAGGGTGTAAGGTTGTGTTCTTCGATGATCACCCTGACGGCAGTGGCAGTGTGACACTGACTGGGGGCGGGGGTTTAGAGTGTGCCGACACAGAGAACGACAAATGCCTGCTGATGTATTACACCCATGACAGAGTCCTGGCTCAAAGACTGGAGTATCTCTGTAACAGGCGAAGGGAGGTACTGCGGAGGTGGTTTGACTTGACCCGAATGGTAAAGAAGAGAGATTATAACGATTTGCCCCAAAGTGTCTTCACAGTCCCAAGTATTGTCATCTCGCATCCACACGGAAGAATGAAGTACATCACCCTAGGGCACAGTGACCCTGAGAGTCTAACTGGTGCACTTCGTGGTGAGCCTTTCACCTACAATGCTGCCACTTGTCCAGGCAGCAGTGGTGGCTTTGTCCTGCCACTGGCTGATCTGTGCTACAGTTTCTGGGCCAAACCTCACAGTTCCTCACTATCTGGGAACCACGGCTGTAGTGGTGGGGGTATCTTTTGTTATTGTTGATATTTGAACAAACCCCTATTCCTCAGAATGTATACCCACAGCTGTACACAAACACACGCACACACAGACTCTCATACACACGCACAAACACTCTCACTCAGAAACATACACATTCATACACTCACACACATACTTACATTAAAAAACAACAACACACACACACACACACA